TTATTATTATTATTATTATTATTTTGCTTCTGTAATAACATCAGCCTCAATGTATATGATGAAACAACCACCCAGTTATGAATACCTCTCTATATCTAAGTTAGAGCAAGCTTTTGGATAATTGACATTTGTTTTATGAGTCAGACATGTTTTTGTTACTCTGTTTTGCATCGTTTCTCCTTTTTTAACTCTTCTGATTCTTTCAAGGACACCATGTTTAAGATACCTTGTTTGGGGCCACCTGGGTGGCTCAGTTGGTTAAGCTTCTGACTTTGGCTCAGATCATGATCTCACAGTTCATGGGTTCAAGCCCCATGTCAGGCTCTGTGCTGCCAGCCCAGAGCCTAGAGCCTGTTTCAGATTCTGTGTCTCCTTTTCTCTCTGCCTCTTCCCCACTCATGCTCTGCCTATCTCTCTCTCACAAAAATAGATAAACATTTAAAAAAATTAAAAAAAAGATAAACCTTGTTTGCTGTGATTGTAGGCAGTTATGAATTGTCATAATTACAGTGGCTACCACTTCATCAAAACCAGGACAAGAAAACTTTTTCCCTCTCTGTCTGCTCCTATTCCACATGTGCATGCATTCCTTGTCTCCCGCAAAATAAATAAATATTAAAAAAAAAAAAAACTAGGGTGGAAAACAGAATTTTCAGTTTTTCCCTGGTTGGAGCCTTGGTATTGTGAAAACTTGTGTGTGGATTAATTTTTTTAAAAAATAATACTGGTGTGATAAATGCCAAAAAAAGACTACTGTAATTTACTTTGGTAAATTGTTAGTCATTGTATGGTATGGAGTACCAAGTTGGGTAGAATATAGTATCACTTTAAGGTATTGAAATCTCCCCGTCATTGGGAGGAAGTTTCTACTTGTTTCAAAATATAAGAGTTCCTCCTTTAGGGATCACACTGTTATAATTTATTTATATTTATTCAAGTGGAAATAAGAGATTTGCTTTTTTCTAATAATTTTACTCATCTCTACTTTGGATTACACTATTATCCTTGGATTGGCATGCAAGAAAAATCACTAAATTAAGAGTTGAGAGGCCTGAGTTTGAAGTTTACCTCTGTCAGTTATCAGTTACTGTGTGATCATCAAGTCACTTCCTTGGACTGCTTTTGCAGAGCTCTAAGAAGCTATAATTTCATATTGTTTATAACACCTCTTTTTCTGGCTGGAAATTGCTATATTGCCTATGTTTCATTACTTAAAATTACCACAGGAATACATCAGTGATTACCACTTGGTCATGAGTATACTTAATTTTAAATGGCTCTTTTATTTATTTTTTTTAATGTTTATTTATTTTTGAGAGACAGAGAGAGACAGAATGTGAAGTGGGGAGGGGCAGTGAGACAGGGAGCCACAGAATCCAAAGCAGGCTCCAGGCTCTGAGCTGTCAGCACAGAGCCCCACATGGAGCTTGAACTCATGAGCTGTGAGATCATGACCTGAGCCAGAGTCGACCGCCCAACCAGCTGGAGCCACCCAGGTGCCCCTAAAATGACTCTTTTAGATAATTATAAATATATTCATTTTAAAAATAGCACTTTGCAGTGCCTAGGTGACTCAATTGGTTAAGCATCTGCCTTTAGCTCAGGTCATGATCTCACCATTCCTGAGTTTGAGCCTGTCATCTGGCTCCATGCTTTACAGCTCCAAGTCTGGAGCCTGCTTCAGACTGTGTCTCCTCTCTCTATGCCCCTCCCCCACTTACGCACACATGCACACTTGCTCTCTCTCTCTGTCTCAAAAATAAATAAACATTTTTAAAAAATAGCACTTTAGGCTTGCCTGGGTGGCTCAGTGGGTTAAGCATCTGACTCTTGATTTCCACTCAGGTCATGATCTTATGGTTTGTGGGATCAAGCTTTGCATCAGGCTGTGTGCTGGCAGCGCAGAGCCTACTTGGGGTTCTGTCTCTCCTTTTCTCTGCTGCTCTCTCTCTCAAAACAAATAACTAAACTTAAAAAAAAAGCACTTTTATAAGACATATACATGATTAAATAAGAAATGTATAGAGAAATATAACTGCCATTGTGTGTTGGTATAACTTATTAGCATCACGCCTTATACTAATTACAATATGGGTATGAAAAACTTCCAGTTGATGGAATCATGAGAGGTTTAAGGATTTAAAGTATTAATCAAAAATGGTACATTATTGTATATCTTCAGAAGAATTGTAAACATGAACTTAGGGCATCCACATATATATTTCGAAAATTAATCAGTGGTTAGATAATTTAAAAATCTGGTAGTGGTGGACTTCTCTGCAGAAAAGAACCTAACTACTAGTAACAGTTTACTGCTAGATAAAGTAACAAAATGAATTGCTGCTTCATTACCTAAAGGTGGGTTGAATGAAGAGAAATATGGAAATGTGTACAGGCCTTTTGAGAATTCTTAGATGTTTATGAAACTCAAATGAGTAACCTGAGTATTTCCTCTTTGTTATTGTTTATTTGGATCACCTTGTTGAAATGACCTTATTGCATAAATTATGCAAAGTAAAAGAACAGATGACTAGAGAGGGAACAACAATTTATCCTTTTTGTCAGTTTTATCATTTGTATTATTTAGTATAATTATGAGTTTCAATCTACCCACTTATTAAAACAAATTTATTGAGCTTTAATGTAATACATATTGTATTATTTTTAATTGGGTCAAGAAAGATGAATAGAGCATGGCTTTTACCAGTTTTGTGATGAATTGTGCCAGAGGACAGAAATTAAAGCATAAAGGACAGAAATGTCACAGAAAGGAAAGATGATTATTTAAAAAGCTAGCTTCAAGGTTATAGGTAGAGCCTGGATAAGTGTCAGTATAAAGACTCTTCATACTGAAGTTCTCAAACTTTAATGTGTGTGTAATTTGCTTGCGGATCTTGTTAGAAGGCAGACTCTAATTCAGTATATCAAAATGAGCATGAGCTTCTACATTTCTGGCAGCTCCCAGGGTGTGCCAGTGTTCATGAGCCATGATTGACATTTTGAGGAGCAAGACTCAGTACTGTTTTCGAAGTAAGAAGAGATATATGTAGGGCCTACTCTTATTTATTTTATCTTTAATTTTTTTTATTCAGGCATTATTCAGCCACTGTTTATTTAGTGCTTGCTTAATACCAGACACTTTGCTTGCTATGTGCCTGAGTTACAAAGGTGAATAATTCATTGACTCTGGCAGTAAATTCAGTCTTTAACTTCAAAGATGTTTTTCCTTTTTGTGTTTGTGTGTGGAGAAAACATCTTTATTTTTGTGTGTGTGTATTTTTCTTTTTCTTTTTTTAAAAATTTTATTTAAATCCAAGTTGGTTAACATGTAGTGTAATAATAGTCTCAGGAATAGAAAATAGTGGTTCATATAACACCCAAGTGCTCATCGCAGCAAGTGCTGCCCTTGATATGTAGGGGCTGCATTTAAAGCCTTTTCCTGGATGTAGTCATACTTTTTCTAACTTATTCCATAATTAGAACATACTGATTAGCAATACAAATGCAAATAAATACATAGTTTATAAATTTACCCCTTTTGAGTGACTGATTTAGTCAATGCTTGGTTATCTAGGGGCAGATTAAACAGTATGCAGTTAGCCATGATATTAAATGACAGTGGACTCAGTATTATGGAGAAATGAAATGACAGTAATTTAGGAAACATCAATGTATTTATACTGGACATCATTTCTGTTTAGAATGATTTGTACTTGTTCTAATTTGGGAATATTCCTGGATCTCAACAGTCAGACAAAATAATTTGTGGGAATGGTGCCTCGTTTTTCTTTTAGTCTCTCTAAAGAGCTATGGTCTGCACATGGGGATTAAATCTACAGGAGGCTGTGCTATGTGGATAAAGATTTTTAACATATTGGCTATAAATACCATTGTATTTATATTACTTTTATTTTTTTATTAAAATAGTTTTTAAAGTTTGTTTATTTTTGAGAGAGAGAAAGAGAGACAGAGTGTGAGTAAGGGAGGAGCAGAGAGAGAGATACAGAGTCGGAAGCAGGCTCCAGCCTCTGAGCTGTCAGCACAGAGCCCCATATTGGGCTTGAACTCATGACCCATGAGATCACGACCTGAGCCAAAGTCAGATGCTTAACCAACTCAGCCACCCAGGCGCCCCATATATTACTTTTGAACATGTAGAGGTCACTATCTTTGTAATAGTGAATGTGTTTTGACTCGATTGATGTAAAATTTCAACCAAATAAGTTTAAAATAAGTAATTTATACCATGTTTTATTTAGTTTTATTTCACCTAGTATTTGGGGACTTCTGAGATCTTTTACTCCCACTTTTAATGACAGTTAAAAATTAATTCTTAAGGGGCGCCTGAGTAGCTCAGTCAGTTAAGCGTCTGACTTCTGCTTAGGTCGTAATCTCATGGTTTGTGAATTTGAGCCCCACATCAGGCTCTGTGCTAACAGCTCAGAGCCTGGAGCTGCTTCCGATTCTGTGTCTCCCTCTCTTTCTCCGCCCCTCCCCTGCTTGTTCTCTCTCTCTCTCAAAAATAAATAAACATTTAAAAAATAATTTTATAAAATTGATTCTTTATATTATACAAACATGTATGAACACGCATGGGAATACTAGGAGTAGTAGGAGTTCAGGTGTAGCATTTCAGCTGTAGAAGCATATGTTGTAAGTTACAAAAATTTAAATGCTCTGGATAAATCATAATTTTGTGGCATGTATAGAGTGTGGAAAAAAATCATTCTAACTGATTTTGTAGAACTTACTTTTCCTATCAGAAAGTCTCGTAATTTAAAAATAAAGCACTAATTTAAAAGTAAAGCACTTGTAAAGTACATGTAATTTGTTTTTATCTCTTGTACATAAATTGTTAACAAATTGCTAGAGCAATACAGTATTAATTAGATATACTGATTTTCCAAGTCCTTAACTTAAGCAGTAACATTTAACAGAAAGTATTTATGTTTGTTATTAATTAAACATTAGATATTTTTGTGGAATCTTTTTTTTCTTAGAGAACCAGAGGACGAAAGCGAAGCTTCATTCCTGAGGAAGAAAAACATGAGGTTGGAATAAGTTAAGCATTTTTTACACAGTCTAAACTTTGAAAAACTTTCTTGGTTAAATTATTTCTGTTTTCTTCATATCCAGATTTTGTTTTATGTTTTGTTTTGTTTTCCCGTATATGACAGGAAAGAATTCCTAGAGAGAGAAGGCAAAGGCAGTCTGTGTTACAAAAGAAGCCTAAGGCTGAAGATTTGCGAACTGAATGTGCAACTTGCAAGGGAACTGGAGACAATGAAAATCTTGTCAGGTAAATGGGATGTTGAGACGTTGTCTTTAGGGCATTAAGGTTCCATCTTCTTCATTTTCTCATCACAAATATAATGGGGGAAAGAATCATAGTATAGGACCTTTCTTAAAATCTTATTTAGTGGAAACCGTAGTTCAGAAACAGATTTCATCCACTTATTAACCTGCCACACATGGTTATTTTCTGGCTTGAGATGTAATTAAGAGTGATAATCTGGATTTTGAACACAAGAAACAATTTTCTCCTGACAACAGCACTTGGCAATGCTCTGTATATAGAGGCCACAAAAACAATTTGATTTAAAGTCTGATGAGATCTTTACTTTATCTCATAAAATAGCAACATTACTAAGTTGTTACATATTATAAAAGTTGAATTTATTAGTAATAATGATAAGACAGATACTTGTTTATTGACAAGAGCTTCATTAGCACTTCCTTACCATTTATCAAAATGAATGTGTTAAATGCTTCTCTCTTATGAAATAAAGAAAAGTGAAAAGATGGCCTAGGTAGATTTTGTTTTTTGTTTTGTTTTCTTCTTTGTTTCTTTGTTTCGTTTTGGTACTTTTTTTTTCTAATCAGACATAATGCTAATCAGGAATCTCAGCTGATGTTGCACAGTGGTTATTCCTGAGGGTGCAGAGACTGCTAATTTTAACCTTTTGCTTCTTTTGCTGAGATGAAGAAATTTATTTTAAGCCCTAGGTGAGATGGAGGAGTAAGTGGAGTGGGTGAACGAAAAGAAACCTCATTTACAAGAGGTATCATTCTTTCAAAGTACTGTAACAAAGAGTCTTTTAGTATGTTAAGGAAATCATTTCTGATTTCTCTTAAAAATTGTTTTTGATGAAACACTATGAAATTAACTGAGGGCAAGAAATTAAGAGTTTCAAAAAGAATAAGGTGTTAAAAATGTATATTAGTAGTGTTAATATGATTTTAAATCTTTGCTTCCAAAATGATGTCATTTGTCATTAAAAATCAAATTTTTGTTTGTTTCATTCCTCAAATAACAGCATGCAGTTTTAAATTTTATGATTTTTTTTACTATCATTAAAGAAGATAAGGAGAAAATAAAAATTTAGGTGAAGAAATACAAAGTGCTTCAACAAAGTTAAGAAGGTCTATCATATTTGGTCAGTAATTTTGAAGTAGTACACATAAGATGTCATGAGCACTCTCCTGAAGATGAAACTCATTTAAATTTAGTGTAGAGTAGCGTCAGAAGATACACATGAATAATTCTGACCACAGTATAATTTTTTGATTTATGTAGAAAAAGAAATCCTAAGCTGATCCCAACATGATGGAGTGCATAAAACCATAAAAATAAATAAAAGGAAAAAACCCATAAAACAGTCTTATATAATGAACAAAAGTTCAATCTACAGGAAATCCCATGGAGGTAGAGGATTGCATTGTGGGGCATAACCAATTTGAAACAATAGTTAAAAACACAGAGAGCTGGTTATTCTATTTTTAATTATTTGAACCTATGTTAATATCAACCCTCCTATTTTTTTCAAGATTGTTGAATCATGACATTTTTGCTGTAGGACCTATGCATTTTTACAGGTTTCTATTTATTTTATTTGCTTGGTGAGGTATTTGAAAGAACCTAGAACATAAGTTCAATTTTTATTTTAAAAACCACTTCATAATAAGAGCAAGTACAACACATCCTATTATAGTTGTCGTAAAAAAAGTAGGCACCATCTTCCTTCAATTATTGCTGAGATTTTTAAAATAGTATTACCCTTTCCTATCATTTATTTAATTAGTTTCTCCTATAAAATTTCCATTCCTAATTGCATTATTATAACATGACAGAGTCTGGGATTTGGTGGAAAGTCTTCTGGAAGGTAAAGATATTTTTGTTACTCTAGAAATGATGAATATACAAAGCTTTCTTCCTTGATTTTGCCTTGTTAAGAAGATAACATCACAGATTTTCTGCAGAGGTTTTAAAGAGGTAATGAAGAGGGAATTAAATGTTTCATAAATATTATATATTAATGTTTTTGAGGACAAAATAAGCTGGATGTAAAGCAGTGCCATAAACTGTTTTATGGTTATAATGTGATTCTTCTGTGAAAAAGAAATACATATTCAATTTAAGCACTTTTGCTCTTGAGTTAAAGAAGAATTTTATTTGATGTAGAATTTCATGTGTTTAAGAAGATAATCATAAAAGCTATTATCTGCCATTTCCCCTAACATCTCTTTTATTTTTGTAATTGGCACCATTATTGTTTACAAATCATTCCCACAAAGGTTCACACTTTTATGATTAAGTTGCATCTTAAATATTATATATACATGCTATTTTTTAACTTTAATTTTAAGACATTTTAAATGAGACTTTATTTTTCCTGAAGATATATTTCAGTGCTTAGTCAGAGATGCATTATACTTATTATGTTTATTAGGCTCTCTTATAAAATTAAACTTCTTGGGTGGTAATTTAATTAATAGTCTTTTGCTGAATATATTTTCTCAAGTTCCTTTGAACTAACGTACATGACTCACTAGACCCTGCTGTTTAGCAGCTTTGATTTTGAAACCACACTTCTCTATGTAATTCAGGCTATATAAAAAATTCTTTCTTAATTATTTTCTTGGCTTTTTCAGTTATTTGTATATGTGTATATGTGAATTTACATGTGGAATTTTTTAGTATCAATGGAAATTGAGTTCATTTAATCAGTTAACTATAATATTAGGTTCCAACTGTAATTTTCAGTTTGCCTCTAAGTTTTTGTCAGGTCTTTGACAAGTAATTTACCATTTCTGTGTCTCAGTTTTTCCCTCCATTGTACATGATCAGAATTATAGTCTGTTCCATTAGGGACTTATATGAATAACTACTGAGTGATAATATTTTTCCATATAAAATAGTAAGATAGTGGTATTATTTAGTAATACAAAGGATACATATATGTGGGTTCCGATAGAAGGATTCCAGTTGGTAAATATGTTGTAGGCTTATTTTTTGCTTTTCAGAAAATGTGCATGTCCTGTTTTTGTATATAATTATTTCTAGAATATGGGGGACAATTTATTGAAACATGTTCTCTAAACTGATTAGACTGAACTATTTCCACTAAACATGGGAAATCTGAAAATGAGCAAAGTCTTAAAGAGAAGGATGGTTTATAGTATCTTATAAATTTTTTTTAAATACTGCTTCCTTTTTGCCATTTGCTTTTAACATTTAATTAAAAATAATGTGGGAAGTTTCCAATTAAAAATGTATTTTTTAATGCTACTTAAGGCTAAAGACCAGACTGAAATTCTGTTTTGAAACTGTGAAGTCTTTTTAGGTATTCTCTTTGTAATGGATGTTCTTTGTTCAAGGTAGTTATGGCCCACATAGTAATCTAGCATTTATTTTTGTTTCCACATTTCTGGCACATTTAATGCTAGTAAATGCTTGGTAAATGAATAAGTAAAGACTGATTATTCTTGGCTGAATTAATTTAAAAAATTTATACTGTTACAATTTATCCCTAGAACAAATTGGTCATTAAATAGAAGTATTTGATGAAGATATTTAAAAGGCTTAATAAAGGAGAATTGCTTTTATGTCACTAAAGAATAGGGGATGTATTTTTTCTGTGTATTAGGTAAGGAAATAGGAACTACAGCTTTGAGATTAGTTAGTTGATGCATCAGTGTAATAACAGAAATGAAGTGATCCCTCTCCTTGATGATATTTGATTTGCAAAAGATAGATTTTTAGATGTAGGTGGGCCTTTCTTCTAAGTCTTTATTTAACTATCAAATTAGGAATAAGACCAAACTTTTAGATCTCAAATTTTACTTTCACTGTGCAAACTCAATGTGACACATTTTATTACTTAATGGGAGAAAGGAGAGAGAAAAAAGGTTTCTAAAACTAAGAACCCTAGAATCCATTGGTTGTGTTAAATAGCATCTTTAATTTTATTTTGTATTGTTGCCGTTACTTAGATGCACTGAGTGTAGGAAATGATCTGTGAAGCTATTTCACTTTTACAGCCAAGTCCACACTATTAAACATTCACTATAGTCTCCTTATTTGAGTATATGTCAAATTATATAGATATTGAACCATTTTGGTTACAATATTAGAATGTCTGTTTGGTCTCTTAACAATACTATTAGCACTTTTTTAGTTCACATTTTAAACATCTGGATTCTGAGTGCTTCCCCTGAAACTAAATTTGATTGTATCATAAGCTGTAGGAACACCAGCAAGAATTCATATTTATCAGATTTGTATTTCAAATATTAGTCTTTGATTACTTTGATTTTTAAAAATTGCCTAACATGGATGGAAGCTTATTCGATTGCCTGTGTCATAGTTGAAGGGGTGGTTTCTTGCAGAGATTTTATTAGACAAGAGAGTAAAGCTTAATTATAACTTCAGTTACTGTATTGATAGGACATCAGTTTGCTAAAAATGTATTATTTTAAATTACTTAAAAAATGAAATTTAGTTTTTAAGAACAGTTAAGATTTCAATTAATAGATTTCTTAAAACAAACAAAATGTATAATTTTATTTTGATTACATACTTGTTAGTTTATTGTTTCTTGTACAGTTAGTTTATCACGTAATCATTCTTAATGATAAAATTTGCATGCTCATGTAGGAATTTCATGATTGTAAGTGATGGTGTAAATATATATTATTTGGATACTTACAAATTAAAACTTGGAAACCATACAAGTTTTAAAATAATTTGTGTCTTCTAATAAATTTCATATGTATTAAAAACAGACATTCCTGTACAAAGACATTTCTGTACAAAGTTCTGTTTTTATTCTTTGCCTCTACCAGTATTACAAGGATAAGTTTTAGGTTTTTGTTTTATTTTGTTTTATCTTGTATTCCTGAGTCAGTGGTTAGTACTATGCAATTACTGGATTCTAAAGGACTATTTCTAAAACTTGGACTTGAAAAATTTCTTTCAGTTATGTGTGGTAAAATGTTTCTTCTCATATCACCCTGACCGCAT